CCGCGGTGGTCGAAAATGGCTCTGTGGGCATGGGGGTGGCATGACTAAATGCCGAAGGCGGATGGAACGTTGTTACCTTCCCAACAAAAGTGGTTCCTATTTTTCTACCTGCATTTTTAGGTGCTTTCGAACTGCTAGGTTGGCAGAAGCTGGGACAAGTAACAGGAGCTCACTCCCTCGCTAGGGATTCGAACCGCTGAACTGCCGACCTTTCTGATTGACAAGCTCAGGGTCTTAGCCCCTGAGCCTCCTTTTACTTGGCTGGTTTTTCATATTTAAATGTTTTTGGAACTTGAAATTTCCTAGCAATGTTAGGATCTGCCTTGGGTGTCTAGAAATTCAGCAGTGTGCGAATTATTATAAACTGGTTGATTTACACGGCGCAATAAAATGATGCTGTTTTGATTGAAAACTGACTCTTGAGACGTCAGTAAAACGAAATGAATAAACTAGTTGTGGTCTCCTCTAGAGAATTTTTTTTTTTGACGCTAAGTAAATCTAAAACCGTTTAATCAAGTTTTAATTCCATTCTCATCCATAGCAAATTTGGCAAGGAAATGAATATGTGATTCATACATACCCTTCCCATTTCAAATTCCCGACAGGCCATTACGATAATCTGGGGAGAGAAGAAGAAAATACAACCAAATGTGTCTACAAAACATTGCCAAAATTGTCTGCCGAGGGGCGAGTTTGCATTTTGTTATCAACCGAAGCTTCCATATCCTCGTCAGCCCTACGGACTCAAAAAGGTCAAGAAGTCCTCAACTTCTGACTACGATGAAGCCCCAAATTTCCTGTGCTAAGCAATTAAATTTTTTAAAGACAATTCGGTGAATGTTTTGTCTCATTTTACGACCTTTCTTGCCGCCGTTGTTAAGCGAATCGCTGCAGTTAAGTTAGGGACACGGCTGCACAATTGAAATCTGGCTTCCTCCGCTGACTTTGCTTGCCGGAAGGTTGGAAAAAGGGACAGAAGCTGCAAAGGCCGTAACTGCAAAAAACGGCCGTGAGTCGCTTTTTTCAACGCCGCTGTAAACTTTGACCTCTTACAGGAGCTGTTGTGAATTAAGAGCTACCCGCACTTAAGACACTTACCGCCACATTGTACTCCCATATCATCCTCCAGAAATCAATTACTGTATTTGCAAGGGGTCCCTGGGTAGCCACATACGCTTTTGGTCCATATACTCCCTGAAATTGCAACACGCAAATGAATATGATGAATATTATTTACAGAACCAGATGCATTTTAAGAACTGCTCTCAGGCATAAAAAAAAATCCAACCAAGATTGTTCCAAAAATACCGTGTTTCCCTGAAAATAAGACAGGGTCTTATTTTCTTTTGACCCCCCCTCCCCCTCCCCAAAATAAGCACTTGGCCTTATTTTCGGGGAGGTCTTATTATTTTTGAGCTGCAGGAGACAGCGAGTGTGGTCACCTCATGGCTTCTGCTGTGTTGCAATATTTTCCGGGAGGGCTTATTTTCGGGGGTTTATTTTAGCGCATGCTTATTGGGAGGTCTTATTTTTGGGGAAACAGGGTAGATGCGATTCAAAAGTAGCTCAATTTTAAAAACGGATGCTGAATGTCAACAAGCTCTCCTCTCCTTTCAAACTTAAAGGCATAATTAAAGAGATCCTAGACAAGTACCATTTTTTATGAATGAAATACAAGTTCATAACAAGCCCTCACCTAAAAATTCAGCGTTTTAACAGCCCAAAAGTTCAGGGAGCGTTTTTATGGGGGGGGTTCCCCCTCCCGCCCTCCCCAGCTACAGATTGCAAAATGTAGGAATTGTTTTCTTTAACTGATTGCTCTTCCTATTGGCCTCGTTTTCCCAAAGTTGAAACGGTTTATTTATTTATTTTTAAAAAGTCAACAAAACCCAACACCCAATTTTGAAGTTTTCATTTAAAGGACACAGGACGCTATTAAGAAATGCCTGATCTGGTTTTGAGGAGAAGGCACTGCAGATGCGAGGATCCAGAGCCCTAAAATCTAACCCATAATAATTCTTTCCCATTATGTAAGCTGCTCATGGATACACAAAGGGAGCTGATGGATGACGTAGAGTATTCCCTAAAGGGGCTGTATTGCTAGCGAACCAGGAAACTGACTTGGATAAGTTTTCTTTACCGGATACACAAAGAGAGTTCCGTTAAGATCTTGAAGGATTTTATGAGAAATAAACAAACAAAATGACAAAATTTTACATACTGGATACATGGAAAGGAATGTTAACATTCTGAAATATTTCTGGCTTAAAAGGGCTAAAAGGAAAGAAAAATTATGTATGGTTGCCCTTAGTGAACTTTTACTGACAATGAACAATTGACAAAATGTTTAGATTTTCTTTTTAACTTAAAAGGTGTCTTAAAAGAGAGATTGTATTGTATTTATTTATGTATTTATTCATGCATTTATTTATGTATTTATTGAGCTTGTACTGTATTTAGAGGTGGTGATGTGCTATTAAAATTGTTTTTACTTACTGGGGTAAAGGGGAAAATTACACTTCCTTTTTTCCTTCCCTCCCTTTTTTTTTTAGTATTTTACTGTTTGCATTTTTGTAGTAATTAGTATTTGCTTTGATTCTTTTCATTCATAATTCTTAAGAAAATTGTTAGAGAAAAATAATAATAATAATAAGTTGCTTTGGGAATCCCATTCCATTGCAGGAATCGCTTCTGTGATATAAATAAACAGAACAAATGATGGTAAGTTACTTCTGCCTTCTGGAAGGATTACATGCTAATTCATGATTAACGTGTTTATATTTCCAAAGGCAGAAATAAAAAAGGGTTTCAACATTGCAATATACGTATCACATGCTAACAGCCAATTAATTAAAAGTTATTCATTTACTAATATATTTTATTCAAATCTTTTAATTAAGGCGTCTTACTCCCGTCCAAATTATCAGTCAAACAGGTTATTTGCCTATTGCTAAAATTAGAGATTTTATTTCCTTTGGTTTTGTGACTAATTTTGCTGTCTTAGTTTGGCAATTATTGTTTCCAGCACTAATGGGGTTTACAAGGTCATCTTTTCTTTGCTTCTTTTGGTGTTTTTTTTTTAATTTCTTTGCATTCAAGCTCAACCACACACACAATATTTCCATACCGAAGTGGATCTCCAGGGAGAAATTTAAGTCAAGTCTTTTGAGGTATTCACACGTATGTTACCCGGGGTAATAATAACATTAATACGTACCTTAATGAAATTTGCATTGATGTAGTCAGAATCTTGGGTGGGAGTTTTTAACGTCAGTTTAACTCTACTGTGATCAACTGAAATACAGATGGTTGGGGGAAAAAATTACTTCGCGAGTTAAGGAGGGGTGCTGCCTAGCACAAAAATACCAATTGTAGGCAGTCCTCTTAAATAAAAACTCAATTCCTTTAGCTAACCCTAGGTGTAGGGGGAAATAGCCCTCAGAAAATGAACATAATTGAGGCCAGAATCTTGGGTCGTTGAGCAAAGAAACTGTTAGGCAAAATGCCCTTGTGACTCCTTCACTCAACAACCACAACCCCAGGGACTTTCTAGTTGCAGTTGTTAGGCTGTCGCCAATCAGATAAGAGTAAAAGAGATGCTTCCAAAGGATCCCAACTCTACGTGGAGCTGAAATCCTTCTGGTAGGCAGCCTTTTTTATCTCAAATGTTGCTGCAGCCTCATTTCATATCTTCCATGCACAGAGGGGATTTTTTTTCGGGGGTGGGGGTGGGAGGGGAGGACCGCAGGAGCAGAGCTAAAATCTTTAGGAATTCAGCTCTGTTCCTGCAGCCCCACCATGAGTGTCCCTCCTGTTCTTTGTGCATGAGGGGAAATCCTTTATGGGACAGCAGCTGAAGATTTCAGCTCCATTCCTGCAACCCGTGGGAAATTTCAGCTCCCCTCCCTCCCTCCCCTGTGCTGGCATCCCAGCTGACTTCCAAGGAACCTTCTTGGCAACCAAGACGCAAATCATAATATTGTGAAGATGTGCCATTTTACGATGGCTATAAGTGCTTTACAAGCTGTAAAGCCATCTTTTCAAGGACAGTCACTAAAAGGCTGGTTGTAAGTCGAGGACTATATGTGATCTTAGCATCCCACTAATCTAATCACACAACAGGAAGTGAAAAGAGATTAATTTAATTACTGATAAGAAGTTAAAAAGCAGCCAAAGAAAAGAAAACAAGGCAATTGTCATTATTTAAAATGTCAACAACTACAGAAGAGAAATGTTTACATATTTAAACTTTCACTTCAAGTCTAGTTAAACATTCACAAAAGTGGTTTTTGTTTTACTTAAAGCTGTCACTTAAATATCATGTACGTTCAAATAAACGATCAGAAAGTATATGCTGTGCACAGTGAATATTCATTCCAGCTTTTCTCTCTTTTCCCCTCAAGTTGTAATAGGACTTTTTTAAAAAGTAGATGGGCATATCTATTAATATACAGCATATTTGATGATTTTAAAAAAACACTTTTGCTACATTAGTTTGGCCACAAAAATTGGGAGAGAATTTCTAAATAGAAGATGCAAGGATGGCAAACATAAAAAGGAGGATTAATTTAGCCAGATGAAACGTCTTTGGAAAAAAAATATTCCTTTCTATAAATAATTACCCTCTAATTCAGTGTTTCTCAACCTTGGCAACTTGAAGATGTCTGGACTTCAACTCCCAGAATTCCCCAGCCAGCGAATGCTGGCTGGGGAATTCTGGGAGTTGAAGTCCGGATATCTTCAAGTTGCCAAGGTTGAGAAACACTGCTCTAATTCACCCACATACAACGCTGTTAATGTTAACAGAAAGATTGCAACGTTATTAAAGAGAAGAGATTCAGACTTACATGGCAGTATATCCTTATATCTGTTCTTTTTCACATTTTCTTCTTTTTCCCCAGTGATGGTCGGGTAGATCTTTTCTGTTCTATACTTTGTTGACAACCTCCTCAGTCTCTATAATTAAAAATGTTCTAAATTGTTACTTATTTAACGGCTCCAAATCCTTTTTTTTTTCCACGTCGCCTCTACTTCAAAGGAATATTTTCCTCTATTTTCTTCTACAACTTTTTTTTCCCATGAACTTCTATATTTACATAAACTATAAAGGCTTCCTCACATTTACACCGCGAACCACTTATTTCCAAAATTAGGGACAAGCTAATAGAGGGGAGAGAGAAAAAAAAAAGGACTCTAGAATTAGCTACCCAACTGTTCAGAAAAAAAAATACTGGAGCTACTGGTGATTAAAAATTGACCGTGTAAATGAGCCAAATCAGAGGCTGCCTATTGGTCTCCGGATACGCTTCAAGGCGCTAGTCGTCACCTACAAAGCCCTTCATGGTATTGGACCTGGGTACTTGAGAGACCGCCTGCTGCCAATCACCTCCACTAGACCGATTAGATCCCACAGATTAGGCCTCCTCCGAATTCCATCCGCCGGCCAGTGTCGACTGGCGACTACCCGGAGGAGAGCCTTCTCTGTGGCTGCTCCGACCCTCTGGAACGAACTCGCCGTGGAGATTCGAACCCTCACCACCCTCCAGGCCTTCCGCAAAGCCCTTAAAACCTGGCTGTTCCGACAGGCCTGGGGCTAAAGAGCTGTCGCCCCCGTCTCGAATGGTATGACTGTTGTGTGTTTTTAAATTATGCATTGTTATGTTTCGTTTTTATTTTTTGTCTGTACTCCCCCTTCCCTGATTTGAATTGTGAGCCGCCCTGAGTCCCCTTCGGGGGGAAAGGGCGGCATATAAATATAATAAAATAAAATCAATCAAATCAAATCAAGAGTAAGATTTAAGATACAGGAACGTACACAATTTTCTGACACTTGTTATTTTTTTTTCCCACCCATCTGCTGAGCTTCAAAGAGGAATGCAGTCCTGTAATACAGTAAAGACTAATAATAGAGAAGAATTTTTATGGGCTTGTTAGCTGTCCTTTTATCAGATTTAACTGTTTGTAGATTCTAAGCCACAAAAACATGCGCAACATCGTTTGCTAAGGGGAAACCATATAAAGAAAAGAAAACAATAATGTGTTTTGTGCAACAGAAGTTCAACCAAGCACTCCAAGAACGAGACTAGTAAATTGCTGGTGAACAGGCAACATGCATTTTGGTCGAAGTGATAATTTCATTTTCAGGTTAAGCATGGGAAATTTAATTTAAATCTCCTTCAAAAATAACTTCTGCCAGGACTCTAAAGAGTTTTATACATTATCATGTAGGCCAAGCTTCAAAAACCAAGAAAGACAAAGCTCTTTTATTGTTCCCCACTTGTAGACAGAATCTTGCCGAACTAAAGCAGGTTATCAGCTCCATAAGCCCATACAGGAAATCTGCGACTTCCTTGAGTGACTGTTCAAAGTTACAACAGCACTGAGAAAAGCGACTTGTGACCATTTTTTCAGAGTTACAACCTTTGCAGCATCTTCCTCGTCACGTGATCAAAATTCAGACGCTTGGCAACTGGTCCATATTTATGACCGTTGCGGTTTCCGCAGGTCATGTGATCCCCTTAACCACTAGGTTGCTGGCTGATCAACTGCAGCGTTTCACTTACCAACTGTGGCAAGGAAGGACATAAAATGAGGCAAAACTCACTTTAACAAATGTCTCACTTAACAACAGAAATGTTGGGGTTCAATTGTGGTCGTAAGCAGAGGTGGTATTAAGCCGGTTCGGACCAGTTCACACGAACTGGTAGTGGAAATAGCGGGTGGGCCTGCCGACATGTCCCGGCTCTATGTCGTCCTATTTAGGGGCATTTTTGTGGCTGGGCGCATGCGCAGAGGGCCACAAATTTGCAGACTGGAAGGGGGAGGTAAGTGAAAACCACCCCTGGTTGTAAGTCAAAGACTAACTGTAGTCTGGGAACTATTGGGGAGGAGCTGTCTTCGCCCTCTTTCACTCACACAAATGATCTAAACTGTGTTGTCTCTTCCCGCTCTAGAATGTTGTTCTTCCTTCCCTCCTGGGAATCGAGACAACATCCCGTCACATGGATTACAGATTTCCTGGACATCTGCCCTTGCTCTAGCATAACTTTCTCCCATGTTAAATTCATTTAAAAACCCACCGAGTTCTACTTGTGAAGCACATGATACGTGAGGGGCGTGGGGAAATGACACACACATGAACAGAGGCAGGATTATTTTTAACCGCAAGAATACAATTCCCCATTCAAAACTAGCACGAGAGCAACGTTATCTCTTTGTGTTCTTTGAAATTAAGTTCAGCACCGCACCGTGGAATTTATTTACTATATCTTTATCAGTTATATATATATATAACTGATAAAGATATAGTAAATA